GGGCCTTACCCTGGAGGTACATCTCCTCGCTCTCCACAAACATCTGTCCGCACCGGACGCACAGCGCACATGCAGGGTGGAAGTGCTTCTCCCCAGCCTGCAGGGACAGACAGGCACTCAGAGACTGGCGCACAGTCCACCCATGCTGCCTGGACCCCCACACACAGCCCGCTGACACCTGGCACACACACAGGGGGTGTGGTACAACCGCCCAGCGACCAGCCTGCACACCCACAGCCGGGACAGCCGGACTCTCAGAGGGTGGGCTGCAGACAGGAAGCTCTCTGTGGACCGCCGAACCCTGAGTAGAGCCAGGCACATGGGGTGGGCACAGGGGGGCCCCTGAGAGTGCCCAGCAGCTGGGCAGTGCCTCAGGCCAAAGCAGGAAGCAGACATCCTGTGGGGTTTCTCTGGGGAAGGGGGTGGTGGTGTTGGGAACGTGGGGCCCACAGCGATAGAGTCAATACCACCACCAAGACCATCACACACACTGTCGGCCCCCAGAGCACAGAAGAGGGACAGTGGCCACCCCTGCCACCCGCAAGGGCAGGAGCAGGGCCTGAACAGCATGGGTCCCTGAGCCTCAGTGTGGGTGCTGCTGTCGGGAAAGAGCCCACACACACAGCTGGCCGCAAAGCCACCCTTCATGACGGACACAGCAGCTGCAGGCCAGCCAGTGGGGTAGGCCTGTGGGCACCCTCGCAGATGAACCTGGAAAGCCCCCGTGGTGGAAGGCATGTGGAACAAACAATTGATTGTGTACCCCAAATTCCTGTTCTCAGGACTATCTACACAGAGCACCCTACTTCCAAAAAATGGACACTATTCCCAGTAGAGGGCATTCACAGGACGGGCGTTACATCCCAGTTAGCTCCGTGGAGCTCAGAAGCGTCAGTGGTACCCACACTGTCTCTGCTGGGCCAGGCTGCCCCAGTGCAGCAGGCATGCGGCATAGCAGCGCCAGACTCAGCAGCCCTGGGACATCGCACCCAATGGAACACACCGGAGCCCTCACGACCCCTGGGCCTGCAAGCAGCTCCTCCTTGACCACCACCCGAAAGGTGGGCAGTTCAAACCCACCCAGCAGCGTCACGGAAGAAAGCTCTACCACCAATCTGCCTCAGTAAAGACAACCACCAGACAGCCTTCAGGGACAGCCCTTCTCTGTAGCACCGGGCCAGCTGGGCAGAAGCTGGTTAACTGGATATCGTGGGGGGAGCATTGGATGGTGTGTGTGTGTGTGTGTGTGTGTGTGTGTGTGTGTGTGTGTGTGTAACTGGCCTGTGTCCACCAGCTAGCACATGTGTGTGTGACTTGGCTGCTTCCTCCTGTCCAAGAAGGAGCCCTCCACCCTCAGGAGCCCTCTGGATGCTGAGTGGCCAGGCCAGGGCTGCTCCTGTCAGGAGGGGCTCCCTGGCTTCAGCCAGTCTCAAGTTCCTGGGCTTGGGACAAGCCTGGCAGAGAGGGGCAGGCAGCCACAGCCAGTCCCTGGGTGGCGCAACAGAAGAAAAGCCTAGGGGTCACTGCGAGAAAGATCCTGGCAGGAGCTCTAGGACCGCTTCTGCGCTGCAGCAGGACCGGCTACACTGTAACAAGCTTGCCACCGGGACCGGCTACCCTGTAACAAACTTACCACCGGGACCGGCTACACTGTAACAAACTTACCACCGGGACCGGCTACACTGTAACAAACTTACCACCGGGACCGGCTACACTGTAACAAACTTACCACTGGGACCGGCTACACTGTAACAAGCTTGCCACTGGGACAGGCTACACTGTAAGAAGTTTACCACTGTGAACGGCTACACTGTAACAAGTTTACCACCAGGACTGGTTACACTGTAACAAGTTTACCACCAGGACCGGCTACATTGTAACAAGTTCACCACCAGGACTGGTTATACTGTAACAAGCTTGCCACTGGCCAGCTACCCTGTAACAAACCTACCACTGGGACCGGCTACACTGTAACAAGTCTATCACTGTGACCGGCTACACTGTAACAAGCTTGCCACCAGCCAGCTACCCTGTAACAAACTTACCACTGGGACCAGCTACACTGTAACAAGTCTACCACTGTGACCGGCTACACTGTAACAAGCTTGCCACCAGGACCAGCTACACTGTAACAAGTTTGCCACCAGGACTGGCTACACTGTAACAAGCTTACCACTGGACCAGCTACACTGTAACAAGTCTACCACTG